ACGTTGATCGAGTCGACATTTGTCGGCACAGGCCGGGCGAGGCTCAGCTTCGCATATCGGACTTATCTTTATCCTTAGTTTTATACAAACAGTTCAAAGAAAACACACGAGAACTAGAAATATTTGACACAGGCCGGGCCACTCCAGAGAAAAGGCCCGAACGAAGCATGACTTCGCAAATCTAACTGAACTAATTAGCTTTATATGTGAAGCTGAATTTTCCTGCATGGTGTTTACGAAACGGGGGGAAATGCATTTTAGGCAAATGTACCAATGTGTTAGAAAAATGTTTCTCCCATCTGCACGCTGTTATGCCTTGGATCTTCATCGAAAGAATAATATTTATGCAGGATAACTGAAACACACACGCTAGGGAAGAATGTCATAAACGCGATGAGAAATATTTGGGCGAATATTGTCAATGTTTGGGAAACGTCTAATAAGAACCTCCCAACAACTAGTAGATATGCTAAGAAGGAATGGGAAGCGTTAATGAGAAAATCGAGACGTTGCATGAACACGTCACCTCTGTTTCAGGGATTAGACGCGGTTTGAATAACAATGCATTATTTTTTTTATAAACATATTTTTATTATAAACAGTATTTGTCCTCCTTTTCCACATCTATTACCATTTTCCTTAAAGATTAAACCATAGTATAAACGTCTATAACATTGATAAGTATCTATTCACTGAAGTCCCTATCCTCTAATAAAAGAAAAGAAGGGAAGATATATATTATATATATATATATATATATATATATATATATATATATATATATATATATATATATATATATATATAATATATAATATATTATCTATCTATGTATATACACACACACACGTCCGCGAGAAGGGGTTCAAAATACGTATGAAATATAAAACTAAAGATTCTAAAGGAAGTGTTACGCAACTGCAGTTCTTTCACACACGATGCGTACACACATTGATAAGGCATCCATGTATATACTTAACCCTGCCATTGTGTTCCGTGCAGTTGATATTCTAAAATGATTTTGAAGTAACATATTTTCTGTGTTTGGATCTGACGAAAAATATTCGTCATTTTATTAGTATACTTACATATCACGATTGTATTTAAGAACTTTGATTTTTTGCTAACCTTTTTTTCCACGCATATACTGCAAACAGACGTGTATTAACAAACGGGAGAAATATAAAACAAACAGCATAAATGACAAATAAAAGTATAGAGCGAGAAGAAGCATCTATTATATGATGAAGAATAAAAGGTAGCATTGTTTCCGTTCATTGAATAAGTGTTTGGTTCTGGCAAAAAGGGAAAATAAATCTTTCACTTTAATAGATTAGCCGCTACTAGATGGTGCAGTTACGAAAAGTATTTACGAAGGCCTGTTGCACATTTTTTGTTTTGCTGTCATGTTTCAATCATGAAGCCTTTTTCGTATTTAAATAAATATTCCAGCTGAGAGAAGGGTCAAATAGAGTTAATTTTGACTAGGGATTATAGTGTAAGTGTTCGGGTGTTGTGTGTTGTGTTGGGTGTAGTGTGTGCGTGTGGATAGCATGACGTAAGAGTGACAGCTTTATTACTAACAATTTCTCGTTTCTCAACACATCTTTATATTTCAAAACTATTGTATTTTTAATTTAGTAATAACAAAAATCACGATTTTGACAACAGTAACCACAAAAATATAATCATTGGTAAAGGGGCCGTCGCGATGAAATTTCGACTAACATTTTTTTAAAATACTCGAAAATTTGAAAATTTAATGAGAATAGATGGTTTTTTTTGATTTCGTAGAGCTAGATAGAAATTATAATCTAAGCTCATAAGATTAAATTTTGCATTGAAGGTGGAGTTTTTGTCCCTAGCTCTGTTCAACAATATTTACCCATCTATTCATTTGTAGATTTTACAGCATTTTTATTATTATTATTATTATTATTATTATTATTGTTGTTGTTGTTGTTGTTATTATTATTATTGGAGGGGAATTGTTCACTGTGTATTCTTTTCTGAATTTGGGAGTTCTGTAAGGTGATTTCCTCTCTTAGCGGATTTTCTCTAATGACTTGTCGTGCCCCGGGACGACCTTCGAGCTTGGTGCATGACCTCTGGTGTGATCAACAGAGGGTCTTTGCTTCACCTCTTTTATCTATCGAGTAGCATGAATTACACCATAGACGTTGTGGGTGCGATAAGGCTTTAAAACAAAAGGTGTGTATCTTATTTTTTTTTATTCGTTACGGTGGTGGACCAATTCAAGATTTTGGATGGGAATTATGGCATATATTATTGATTCTAAATGGATTCTTTTTTTTTCTAATGAAGATAGCCATTTCGACGACTTGTATAAAAGGGAAAGCATTAAAGTCTCGGTGATCGCCAAAGGACTATAAACTGCTTGCCTGGATATATATTACGGAATCGCCGAATCACCAAAATACAGAAGTGTGCAAGAGCGCAGCAGATATAGATGCTGCAGACGAACGTTGCAACCATCATCCATGGAACAGCCTTTCAGCCTTGACCTGCTCTCCCGCCATGCAGGCCCAACCCCCTTCTCCCGTGACTGCAATCGGCGTCACACATTCCCAGCCAAGGTCGACCTCCAACACGAGGACTGGTAGTTATGCACTGGCGGTTCGTAAAAGGATCGAGCACTTCCATAGTAAATAAATCCACGTGGCTGAACGATGTTGACTACAACGAAAATAAAAGAAACGAAGGAAGTGTTGTAGATTTTGAAATAAAAAGCAGTTTTGATAAAGAACATAAAGATGTACAGTAAGATTGACAAACAATGGGGAGTTAGTGTTTTATTTCCTTTTATGGGGCTTGGCATTATTTTAGTACTAAGGGATTACCAAGCGAAAGAGTGTTACATCTATCGCCTCCATATTTGAAGTATATGTCAAAAAAGCTCTTGAGCAGCTGTCATAATTTTCCAATATTTCTTAGATGACTCTGTGCAAGATGAATTATAACTACAATATCAGTTAACTGAAAATGTGTTGAATTAATTTACAAACCATAATAAACGAGAACCGTCTCAGTTGCCCGTCATTATTAATAACATCATGCATGAACATCACACAAGTCAAGAGAAGAACAGAAAAAAAGGAGTAAAAAACAAATAATAAGATATTACTTTCAAACAAGTATGATTTTGAAATAAAACCTACTGTTTAGATCCCACTACGATAGTCCGCGGTTCTCTATAATAATTTGCTATCACTAACTGGTATAGGTACGTTTCCGGAATTATATTTCAGTGCACTTGCTGGGTCCCACTTTTGTACACCTGGCAACCACATCGGTGTAAACATAGAGTACAGTGAACCCTCGTTTTTCGCGCGGGTTACGTTCCAAAAAGAACCCGTGATAGGCGAAATCCGTGAAGTAGTAACCCTTATTTTTTTACAATTATTATACAATGACATTACAATACATTGAAACCAAAGAACAAAACCTTTTTACAGGCCCAAGCAATTGTTTAACAAATAAAAGTACTGTATAAACATTTTTTTAAACAAATAATTGTACTGTAAAACAATAATTTTAATCATCAGTACGAACTGAAGGCTTCATGGGTTTTAGAGAAAATTTGCAAACTTAAATTTGGCAAGTTGTTTTACGTACATGTACATATTAAACCATTATGTTATTGACACAGGTAGAGAAGAAGCGGAGAGACTGTTTAGCCAATCAGAATGCAGAACACCATGCACAATGCAAATCCGTGAAGCAGCGAGAAAGCGAAAGGTGAACTGCGTTATAGCGAGGGTTCACTGTAAATAGTATTTTTGTTTGTAAGAGTGTGATTGGTAAAATATGAATAACCAATGTTTATTAATATTTTTTCATCTTTTATTTATTTATTTATTGGAAAGTACGTAAGACATTTCATCATCTTCTAATAAGTGATACAGAATATAGTATTAGTTGTCATTGACTGTGTAGTGGGATATTTTCATAATACGATATCTCGAAATCCTGTTTATCGAAAAGGCAACATTGGTAGAGGTGAGATAGTATTCAACATTTTACTCTTAATTATAAAACATTAACGGAACACAAAGCTGCAGTAAGGTTACTGTGGGCAGGTAGAGACTTTGTCACTGTGTGTGCCTGCTGCGTATGTGAGAATACGAAGTCAGTACATGGGGATGAGTTGCGATGCAGTACGTATAATTCGTTACGGTAATTCTGGATGATATATGTTGTGCAAAAATGTGATCCTAGTTTTCACTACTATTATTCTAAGCCTTGGCGTTTCTATGAGGAGACGCATCCACCTTCGAACACCTGCGAGAGAGAATACAAGTTTGCTTGTTTCATCTCAAGCAGCTACTAGCTAGGCGGCTCCAGCGAGGGTCAGTATCAAAGGCGCAAGAACTGACTCCCAATATATCTGGCATCTTGATGAGAGAAAAAATCATGTTCTTTCTGATGAAAAGGATAATGCACCTGGATCTCTACTTTTATTTGTCATACATAGGCTTGTCAACCGTCCCTTAAAATACGGAATCGTTCCATATTTGACAACTGAATAACGCGTCCCTGAATTGGGACGGATTTGTCAATAAATTAACAAATTTTATTATAGGAAAAGTTCATTTCTGAAGTAGTGCTCTTGCAGGAAAGTTTAGGAAAACTGGGAAATAAATCATTTCCTAGTGTTTAAGTTTAGTAATACTAAACTCATTCTATTATGAGAAGATATCAAGTTTGAAAAAGTTACATTTTTACTAAGATAATTAGTATAGAACAGAGAGTGTCGGAAATGGAGGGTGTGGGGTGAATAGACCCCCCAGGTTTGCCAAATCTTCTGCAATGTAATTTTTTAGGGCTTTGTAAATATGAGTGCATGGCAATTTAGAAGGTTTTACCCCTCCAGCTTAAAATGAATTTTCACCTCTGTGTAAATTGCAGTTTGTCTGAGCTGGTAGTGGTACCTGTTTATTCATCTATTCTAATTGTCCGTTTGTTGCTAATCTGCGACGATGCCTGCAATTGAAAACAGAAATATGGACGATGCTGCCAGATCCACTACCCGCTCAGATTCCCCGGTGACCAAAAAGAAGAAACGCCTCCAAAGTACAAAGGAGAATGGAAAATGAAAGTAAATGACTGGAAGTTGTAGCACGTGGCCCCTGTCCCGTACTTTCGTTTCAGGGAGTTGGCAACCACAGTCATATACGTATTTTTCCCTTCTGTTTGTCAATTCATGTCTGCGTAGGTGTGGCTATAATTGACATACTTGTTTTGATATATTATCTTGATAATCACTTATGGAACAATAAAAGCCAAAGCTTTGATCAGATTTTAGTACCAGATAAAGGGAATTCAGAATAATCGAAACGAATTATACATACTGTTTGGAAGCTCATCATAAACGCTACACACATATAAATAATGATATACACACATACGTTGATAAAGCATTTGTATATTCACTGTTCCCCTAATATGTTTAAATGAAGTTGATAATGTATGTGTTTCAATCTATTGATAGGTAGATATTTATAAAGTATTGTTACGAAAAGAAAAAAAAAAAAAAACTTCATTATTCCCGATTACATGCTACTAGATAGTGCAACGTGAAAAGCATTTACAGTGTCAGTGACTTGGAAAAAATCTTCATTTAACTGCCATACATAGATGTTTTAAGTATGAAACGCTTTGACGTGTGAAGAAATATATAGCTATGGCAAATACTTTCTAAGTTTATAGAAGGGGGAATATGTCACCCTCCAAAGGTGTTGCCATTTCGAAAAAAAAGAAAATTACGTTCGAAAAATATTCCTCTACAAGGTCAGCGATAATCAATGTTTTCTTTTACCTATTTGAAGAAAAACAATCGAATGGTTTACGTAGTTTCCAAGAACATATATTAATACACTTAATTATTTATATTTTACCAATCTCACTTTTTGATACAATCAACCTATGTTTTCTTCCTTCATACTAGCTATTATTTACGCAATGATTGTATGAAAATGGCCGCCAGTTATTCGAAAGACGGACCCAACAAACGTTTCGAAATATGATTCCAGAACTGTAGCTTCATCAGGACTTTGCCAAACTGGATAGACGTTAGCCTTGTTCAGTGTTCACGAGGACCTCGAGAGCATTGCAGGGGTTCACGAAGACCCCCAAAGCATTTCACGAAGACCCCAAAAGCATTACAGGGGTTCACGACCCCCCCCCCAAAGCATTGTTCACGAAGACCCATTGCAGGGGTTCACGAAGACCCCAAAGCATTACAGGGTTCACAAAGACCCCCCAGGGGTTGAAGACCAAAGCATTGCAGACCCCCCAAAGCATTGCAGGGTTGAAGACCCCCAAACATTGCAGGGGTTTTGTTCACGAAGACCCCAAAGCATTGCAGGGTTTGCAGGGGTTCACGAAGACCCCAAAGCATTGCAGGGGTTCACCAAGACCCCAAAGCATTGCAGGGTTCACCAAGACCCCCAAAGCATTGCAGGGTTCACCAAGACCCCAAAGCATTGCAGGGTTCAGACCCCCAAAGCATTGCAGGGGTTCACCAAGACCCCCAAAGCATTGCAGGGGTTCACCAAGACCCCCAAAGCATTGCAGGGGTTCACCAAGACCCCCAAAGCAGGGGTTCACCAAGCACACCAAGACCCCCAAAGCATTGCAGGGTTCACCAAGACCCCAAAGCCTTGCAGGGGTTCACGAAGACCCCCAAAGCATTGCAGGGGTTCACGAAGACCCCCAAAGCATTGCAGGGGTTCACGAAGACCCCAAAGCATTGCAGGGGTTCACGAAGACCCCCAAAGCATTGCAGGGGTTCACGAAGACCCCAAAAGCATTGCATTCACTTCACACGAAGACCCCCAAAGCATTGCAGGGGTTCACGAAGACCAAAGCATTGCAGGGGTTCACGAAGACCCCAAAGCATTGCAGGGTTCACGAAGACCCCCAAAGCATTGCAGGGGTTCATTGCCATTGCAGGGGTTCACGAAGACCCCAAAGCATTGCAGGGGTTCGACCCCCAAAGCATTGCAGGGTTCGCGAAGACCCCAAAGCATTGCAGGGGTTCGCGAAGACCACCAAAGCATTGCAGGAGTTCACGAAGACCCACAAAGCATTGCAGGGTTCACAAAGACCCCATTACAGGGGAAGACCCCCAATGCATTACAGGGTTCACGAAGACCCCAAAGCATTGTTACAGGGGGAAGTTTCCGAAGACCCCCAAACATTACAGGGGTTCCCGAAGACCCGCATTGCAGGGGTTCACGAAGACCCTTAAAGCATTACAGAGGTTTACGAAGACCCCCAAAGCATTGCAGGGGTTCATGAAGACCCCCAAAACATTACAGGGGTTCACAAAGACCCTTAAAGCATTACAGGAGTTCACGAAGACCTCGAAAGCATTACACGCGCTTCTCTAATAATAATAATCGGCGGAACAACAAGGAAAATTCATGGACAGACACCAATATCGGATATATCGTTCGGATCTAAGCTGTAGAAGGAACATTTAATGCTTCGGAATATCCATACAAATATACTCACTACAGTGCATACGGCATTCACGGAGCAGATGGATAGAACAACAAATCCACATAATGAATATCTTGGGCAACTTAACTGCCAGTCGTAATAGCACCGAAGAACCGAGTGAATTAGGGAAACACTTCTGAGTTTTTTTCTGAGATAGAAAGTCTCTGCTTAAAGGAACACATAATCGATATGTACACACACAAATATGTGTGTGTGTGTGCGCGCGTGTGTGGGATTGAGTGTGTGTGTGCAGGTGCACACACACACATCATAGTATTACTAACCAAGCAACATGTATACGAGTTGAAACTTACACGCTAGTACACAGTGACCACTATAAGTACATAGTAAAGAATTAACATTCAACGTATACATGATGTACATTGACAGTCTGAATAGCTGGTTCAGTACAGTCGAGAAATATTACCTATAAAAAGTTATATATATATTTTTTTATCAGCGTCAGATTTAAAACGCTCGAATAAACTAGGGAAAGGACATATAACTGTCGACACTGGTAGGCACTCAAAGGATAACACATAGACTGTAGGAGGCCCATTTTAACAGCAAAGTCGACGGGATCCGAATGCTTTTGAAGTTGGGAAGGCATCTTGGGAAAGGAGTCCACCGGGCAAGGGGAAGGGTTTAGGACAAGAGAGGATTGAGTGGCGGCAGGAAAGGGTTAAGTGAAAAAACATATAAAAGACAAATTGAGAGAGCTGCACGATTTTATTTTTTTTACCGCTAGTAGAAATAAGAATACCATATATATACATACATATATATATATATATATATATATATATATATATATATATATATATATATATATATATATATATATATACATACAGACGTATATGTATTTATGTATGTATTCATATATTCATAGACGTATGTAGGTACATATAATATATATATATGTGTGTGTGTGTGTGTGTGTGTGTGTGTGTGTGTGTGTGTGTGTGTGTGTGTGTGTATACTATAATATTATATATATATATATATATATATATATATATATATATATATATATATATATATATATATATATATATATATATATATATATATATATATATATAATATATATATATATATATATATATATATATGTATATATATATATATATATTATATTATATATATTATATATATATATATATATATATATATATATATATATATATATATATATATATATATATATATATATATATATGTGTGTGTGTGTGTGTGTGTATCTGTGTGTGTGTGTGTCTGTGTACCTGTGTTATATAAAACACATAAAAAAGTATGCCGATATGTATATTTGCATATACATATATACATATATATATATATAATATATATATATATATATATATATATATGTATATATATATATATATAATATATATATATATATATATTATATATATATATATATATATATATATATATATATATATAGTACTTACACATACATACTCATATATATGTGTATATATATGCATATTCACACACATGTGCACATATATACGTACATTTGTAAACCGAATACTAGAACAAAGATGAGGAAGTGCCTAGGCTTACAACCCATCAGAGAGGAAATGCAAGTTCAGTAAATTCTCTTTTAGGTTTCCCTGCCCCAGGAAGCAGTGGGCTCCCCCAACGTGAACCCCAATTTTACGCTAAGAATCATCTGGTTAGTACTTTGCCTCTCAAATATTCACTGTAGCATCGAGTTGCTTGGTCTCGGCGTAACCGTAGACTCTGCATAGAGCGCCATCTATGTATCGTGGGATAGTTTAATGTATGTCGTCAATTGTATCATCATGAATAATCTTGGGTCTTGACAATGCAAAGAGTGCCATCTATGTATCGTGAAATAGTTTACATGTCTCGTAAATTTAGTCATTATGAATAATCTCGGTTCTTGATATTGCAGACATCGCCATCAATGTATTGTTAATTAGTTTACACATCTCGTCAATGTTATCATCATGATTAATCTCGATTTTTGACACTGTATAGAGCGCCATCTATGTATCGTGGGATAAGTTTATCACGTTAATTGTTTCACTGCGGATTATCTCGGATTTAGACTAGATATCCAGCTTATTAATCACTCTGGTGTCATCAGCAACAGTTTTATATCACATACGTAAAGAAGGCAAACCGGAATACAAATAAAATGTATAATATAAAAGACGTGAAAAAACACAAAGCTAAAAAAAAAAAAAAAATAAAATAAAAAAAAAATAATAACAGAAAGGAATGAAGAAAGTAACAATAAAGGAAATCCCTTATCCTCCCTCCTCCCCCCTTCCCTAACTTTCCCATCGATACAAAGTCACACACAAATCTTTGTCATAAAAAAGTCTAGAAGAAAAAAAGAAAAAAAATCTGAAAATGGCCAATATTAGAGCGAGGAGTTGTCCCGGCCCTTGGAAGACAGATCTGAATTACAAATTGAAGCTCCGGTGGCCAAGGGAAGGGGGAGAGGGAAGGGAGGCAAGAGGAAGGGGTGGGGTCCGAAGGGTAGGGAGGGAGAGTTTCGGTGGCTGGGGAAAGGGAGGGAGGGAGAGGATCTATGTGTAGAGGAAGGGACGGGGGAACGCATGGTTTGGGGTGGTGGTAGGGGAGAAGGTAAGAAAGGCTGGTGGATACGGAAAAGGAAGAGAGAGAGAGAGCGGGGGGGGGGTGAGTTTCGGTGGGTAAGGGAAGGAGGATAGGGAAGAAGGGGGTCCAGGAAAGAGGGAAGGGAAGGGTTTTCCTTGGATAAGAAAGGGGAAGGAGGCAGAGGGAGGGAAAGGTTGTCTCTGGTAGGCGGAAGTTGTAGCAACCAGCATACGATTACCTCTCACAAAAACTGTTGTAGATATCGTTGCCTCCACCCATTTTTCTGACGTATGGGACCGTAGAGTATGTGTGTGAGAGGAATGATGAAGTGTGAGGAACAGAGGGATAGAAGGTAAGTGCATGTATGCATGTATAAGTGTTATGTGTGCTATTCGGGAGTGTAAAAGGCTGGTAAAACGTGTATGAAGTCGGAGAGACTTGTCCGATGGATTCGTTCCCGAGGCGGAGATGGTAAGTGATTTAGATGTAACTAAAGCGCAAAATAAAAGTGAAATCAATAAAACAGCAAATACAAGTAAAAACGCAAAGAAAATACGAACTATATAAAGGTTTAAAACAACGAAAAAAGCACCGATCTATATATTTCACTATACTTAAATTGGTCAGAGATCTCCCAATACAAGGGTGCTTCCCACCTTCCCTCCTCACCTGTTAAGCAGGAATGTGTATAATTAAAGCTGTTTCTCTTTTGATGAAGAGAAATTAATTGCTTTTAAAACTAGTATATTAAAAGGTGATAAATAAAAAATAAAATAACGAATAGAAAACTTACGTAAAACTGCCCTTTAAAAATTATAGATTGTGGAATATAAGATTAAAAGAAAAGTTCACCCCTCATTCACTTTCTTTGCATACTAAAAGTTCTCATTTCATCAAGGAAGGGTAAATGTAACTAAAAATAGATTAGTACAATAAAGTAGAATGAAATAAAAGGAATTGAGGTGGCCACGTAACCTCGAGGTGAGTCTTCACGCCTCGGAGGTGTAAATACTCGCAGAAAAGCGCAGAGGGCACGCATATAGAGAAGAAAGAAAGAAAGAAAAAGAAGAAAGAAAGAAAAGAAAGAAAGAAGAAGAAAAAAGAACGAGAAGAAAGAAAGAAAGAGAAGAAAGACGAAGAAAGAAGAAGAAACAGAAGAAAGAAAGAAAGAGAAGAAAAAGTGAAAGACCTTGCGCAGAGATCCCATAATAAGCGGAAGATCGAGATCAGATAGGAAGGGAGCAGGAGGGAAAGGGAAAAGAGAGCGAGAACAGAAAGAAAGGAAGAAAGCGAAGGAGGATGAGGAGCAAGGCATGAAGGGAGAGAAGAGAGAGAGAGAGAGAGAAGAGAGAAAGAGAGAGAGAGAGAGAGAACCGGAAGAAATATCAAGAAAGAGGCAAAAAAAAAAGGGTATAAGGAGGGAAATGGAGTTGAAAGAAAGGGTGAAAACAAAGAAGGTGAGACCAAGAGAAAGTGAAACAAAAAGAAAAAAACAAAAATTAATAATAATAATAATAGGAATAACAACAACAATAATAACAATAAGAATAATGAAAATGATTATAATCATGAACATTCTTTGTTACTATTATCATTATTATCATAAACCGTATGAAAGTGTATATAAATGTTAATAATCATGACAAAAGTTGCATCAATGAAGCGAATGATCATAATAAAGATAATGACATTGATATTCATAAAAATAACTAACAGTAATGGTGACTAATAATATCGATGATGATATTATGGTAAAAATGCAAGTAACAAAAACAAGAACTATGATTATGATAATAGTTACAATATTTATAGCAAAAGTGAATAATGATAATAATAATAGTAATATTAACAATAATAATAATGATGATGATCATTATAAATAATGATGATGGATGATGATGATGATGATGGTGATGATGGTAATGGTGATGGTGATGGTGATGTATGATGATGATGATGATGATGGATGATTGGTGATGATGATAATAATTATGGTTATGATGAGGAGGTTCTAGCGAGATGATAAATAGCATTGCAAGGTCACGTTCGACGATATATAACATGCGAGGGGAGTGATAAGGGCTACACTTCATATTTCTAAAGTGAAACTGGCATAAAGAACGCATAATGGATTATGGTGAATGGAACGGAGGTGTTTCAGGCATATGACGAGTCTGTGCAAAAAATTATTG